ATGGTAAGTGTGGACACTTGGATCTTTTCCTCAGTAAATAACAGTGGTAATGCCTAATGTTCGTCAGAATAACAGTCCGTCGAGCTGCTTAATGAGATTGTAGAGTAATACTGATGCTGTAGAGCAACACTAATGCTGGACAGTGAAGAGCAATATGATAGTGTAGAGCACCACTAATGCTATAGAGTGTAGAGTAATACTGATGCTGTAGAGCAACACTAATGCTGGACAGTGTAGAGCACCACTAATGCTATAGAGTGTAGAGTAATACTGATGCTGTAGAGCAACACTAATGATGTACAGTATAGAGCAATACTGATACTGTAGAGTAATATTGAAGCTGGAGAGCAGTAGTAAAACTATAAGACAATATCGGGATATTTTTCATTAGGCATTTTAGTTCAGTTGGCCATAATTTGTATTTGCATTACGCATTTATTGAGGGTGTGATTGAAACACTGAGGCAGCTCTTTTTAATGGCAGAATTTAGCCATTTTGTGTAACAACTTTGATATCTCATATTTTTAATTATCATGGTAATCGACAAATTTATATTTTGTACACGAGAGAAACAGACAGCCATAAGCTAGATCGGGAGTCAGAGATGTAGCAAATACCTTCCTGTGATTGGCTGTAGCAGGGATTGCCAACACTCTTTCTATGAATGAAATGCAAACTAAGAAATACGTCCTTTTGCACAACATGTTTTATCCCTGACAGACATTTCCATCTAACTGAATAATATAGTCCAATAAGAGGGCGGAACATCGTATCATCGATCCTATAGATTATTATTATTATTATTTTTATTTGTGTGGCAACCCTCACTGAAGACGTGAGAAGTTAGGTAGCCAAACCATTGTTCTATAACACCTGTTATATCCTGCAATATTTAATTATCACTTTATTTATAGTTTTAAATAATTAACACTTCACTCTTTAGGTATTTTAAAGTTGAAGAAGAATGTCATAAGCATGGCTGGTGTGCAGAACAAAGATGATTTATTAAGTGGATGCGGCACCTTTAGCTGATCCCTTCCTGTGATTGGCTGTGGTGAATGTCAACAAAGAGTTTCTACCAATGACATGGAAGCTGGTGGGGGGTGGGGGGGACTTCTTACTTCAACACAACAACCTCATGGGCTGCTGTTGATAGTGTAATTTGATGCCAACAGATGGCATAAGCTGTATCTTATGGCTACTATTTACCTCTTAATAGTGTTCTTTTCTGCCGACAGATTACATCAGCTGTATTATTATTACTTCCAAATTCCCATTAAACTCTGATCTACAAACCCAGTAGCCTATGGTAATTTTGTTTTATATTTTGAGGTTAAGAGGTTGGCAGCTTCAAAATACGAAAAAAATAGCTTGATTTAGTAGCTAAATCTAATCTTTTAGATTTAGCTAAATCTAAAGATTTCCTTCTAAATTTAATTTCAGAAGGAAATGTCCCATGTAGCACGGGCATTAGTGAGCTCATAAAATATGATCCGTAGAGGGATTTAGTATTTGCAATACTAATGCTGTAGAGTAATACTGATGCTGTAGAGCCACACTAATGCTGTGCAGTGTAGAGAAATAGGGATGCTGAAGCGTAATACTGATCTGTAGAGCAACACTAATGCTATAGAGTGTAGAGTAATACTGATGCTGCAGAGCAACATTAATGCTGTATAGTGTAGAGTAATACTAAAGCTGTAGAGCAATACTAATGCTGTAGCTATATTAATGCTGTAGAATGTAGATCAATACTGAAGTTGTAGAGCGATAATAAAGCTGTAAGACAGTATTGGGATATTATTTATTAGGCATTTTTAGTTCAGTTGGCAATAATTTGTGTTTACATTACGCATTTATTGAGGGTGTGATCTGAATACAGAAATTGAGCGAAACCATGTTCGAACACAGTTCGAACGTAATCATCTGTGAGACACAAGGTGCTCGTGAGGGTGTAATGGTCGAAGCCTAGTCACTTTGAAGACTGATCCCACACATTTTTACTATTTCAAACACAAACATAGTACGTTTCATATATATATATATATATATATATATATATATATATATATATATATATATATACTCATTGTTCACTATTAAATCTACACTGTAATGCTATTAACAGTTAAAATCTTCTATTTAATAGCCGCGTAGTTATTAAATGAAGTTAAGTGATGTGATGGACATAATCCAGGCTTCATAAGAACGAAGTCCGCAAATGTTAACACTAGACAACTGAAGGCCCACAAACATGATCGAACGACCGTCCCCAGTTTTTGGGTTGTCTCTTAATACATTGACTATGTGATAGTTAAACTTATACATATATAATAGTATGTATTAAGAGTAAATGCCTAACATGTAATATTAATTAATAAAAACAAAGTCAGAAGTCACACGCCTGTCTCCAGATGTCTGTAGTGTTAATTTTGGGCGCTCGTGTACTTGTGCGCCAGCTCGCGTTCACAACTGATCTCGACTTCAAGGACTAGATTTAGTCAGTCATAGTGATTATAATGTTTATTTGGTACATGTGGAGTCGGTCTAGTATTGATTCCAAAGACAACACTTTCACTGCACAAGTTTATATTAAACCCGCCAACATTGGAATGTGTATGAATGGTCACTCCGAATGTCCAGACAGATATAAGACTAGTGTAATAAACGCATTTATACGCAGAGCTCTGACTCATTGTTCCGACTTATATAACATCCACAAGGAACTGGAGAGAAGCCTTCAAGTATTAATAAACAAGTTCACGAATAGACAAGTCAACGCCCATATCAGAAGATATTTGGAAAAAATGGTATAACATTACTCCCATAAAACTCTATTACAAAATCAACTATGAACTCTTTTTAATGGCAGAATTTAGCCATTTTGTGTAACAACTTTTAATCTCAAATTCTCATAGCAATCGAAAAATTTATATTTTGTACACGAGAGAAACAAAGCCATAAGCGAGATCGGTATATTGAACGCTCCCGATGGGAGGCGGAGCTGTAGCAAATACCTTCCTGTGATTGGCTGTTGTAGGGAATGCCAACACTCTTTCTATGAATGAAATGTAAACTAAGAAATATGTCCTTTTCCATACATGTTTTATCCCCTGACAGACATTTCCATCTAACTTAATAATATAATCCAATAAGAGGGCGGAACATCGTATCATTGATGCTATAGAATATTATGATTATTATTTTTATTTGTGTGGCAATCCTCGCTGAAGACGTGAGAAGTTAGGTAGCCAAACCATTGTTCTATAACACCTATTATATCCTGCAATATTTAATTATCATTTTATTTATAGTTTTAAATAACTAACACTTCACTTTTTAGGTAGATTAAAGTTGAAGTAGAATGTCATAAGCAGGGCTGGTGTGCAGAACAATGATAATTTATTAAATTGATGGCACCTTTAGCTGATCCCTTTCTTGTGATTGGCTGTGGTGAATGTCAACAAATAATATCTACCAATGATATAGAGGCTGGTGGGAGGTGGGGGGGACTTCTTACTTCAGCACAACAACCCGCCTTATGGGCTGCTGTTTGGATATTTTTAGTGCGTTGGAAAAATCAGAGATGGCGCCAGGTGTTTTTGAAGGGTAAAATGTTAATAGTGCAATTTAATTCCAACAGATGGCATAAGCTGTATCTTTTGGCTACTATTTACCAGCAGACTTTTTGATAGTGTTCTTTTCTGCCGACAGATGGCATCAGCTGTATTATTATTACTTTTGAATTCCCTCTAAATTTTGATCTACAAATCCCGTAGCTTATGATAAGGTTTTATACAATGCTGGTATTAGGTAATTGAAGTTATGCAATTACTTTTTTATATATTGCTGAGGATATCATCATATAACGTCTGGTTAGGATATTCTGCTCTCTGTTGAGATGTGATGTATTTCCAAATTAATTAAACATCAGTCCGTAATATTATTAAAACAACAACTTATGCATATAATAACAGCATTTCACACTAAAAATACTTGGATATATTGAAATTTGATAGTGACTTCCAATCTACGAATCTCCTTTGACGAAACTACTGTGTTTGCTTTAGCAAGGTATACTGTATATAGTAAATCATAGTGTAGGGGGGGGGGACAGGCAGCCAGTGCATATATATACATGTTAGACTTATACCGAGGTCCCTCCAAGGTGGAACTAGCTATGGAGTGAGATTGAGAGCAGCCAGGGGCCGGCCCCTAGGCTTGCTGGCGTCAGGACAAGCTCAACTACCGCGCCCTTACAAGTATAATTTTTATTTTAAATCTTCACAAAGAGGAACAACTGTAAATGTAGGAATAGTTCATTACAACATACAAGCTTAAGCCGTAAATGCCAAAACTTTATTAACCTTTAAAGTACAGCTGAAAAATATCAAGGCAGATGGGGGGAATTTCGACAAGCCGCCGGCTTCCTATACTCGCTGAAGCCACTAGTGTTAGTGGCTCTCAGGTAAAAAAAAAACAGTTCGGAAACTACGGAAATAAAGCTGCCGAAAAAACATTACTAAGTCCACTCCTGCAGTGGTAGAAGTTTGGAACAAGGGCGAAGGTGGTGGAGACCAAAACCGGAATTACACACTGACTTTAATGCAAATATGTTGATGTGATTATCGTAATATAAAGATGTTAAGGCAAGAAAGCCTTTTTATTTATTAAATTGTATAAGGACAAATTAAAAGAACCTAACTTGTATAATATTTTAAAACATGGGCTAATTATATGATAATGTACCGTCTATTTATTCATATTCTTAATTTATAATCAATTTCTGTTGGCTCGTATTTGGTCATTTTATTGTCTTGGAACACGAGAATAGCAGCAAACACAAGCCAGCGCATATGTATATACATATGCATTTGGGGGGTCCCCCCTATACATATGTTGGGTGGGGGACCTTCGACCAGCCGCAGGCTTCCTGTCCTCGTCGAGGCTATTAGGGTTTAGTAGCGTTCGAATAAATCAGGTAGGAAAATATACAAATAAAAGAGTTCGTATATACAATTTGTCAGTGAAATTGAAATGAGTTTATTGAGATAAAATACAAACAAAGGGATGAGGCAGCTCAAGCTATCCTCACCCTGATCAGTACAACATATCCATACATATATAAACACACATCACAAACAATAAACATATTACCGAACAATTTGAGAGATAAACATATGCATTTCCGAGTCAGCGAACGAATTGTATTTTATGTATGTGTACCGAACCAACATTAACCCAAAATGATTAGGCACGAATCGACTAGTGTTCATTATAGGGCGCCGGAGAGAGAGTGACGCTTGACGTGTGTGTGTGTTCCTTGTAGCTCAAGTCCTCCTGGTGACCTCCACCCGCCTCCAGCACCACCATTAATCCCCGTCCTCCTCCAGGCTAACAAGTAAGTCCATCTGTATATCATAACCACGCTACAAAGGCTAAAAAAAACTCCAACATAACACAGGTGTTGTTGTGGGTCAGCTGACGACATCTTGGCTCAACTTCGGACCAGATTTACCATCAATAAAAAGCTTTTTTTCTAACTTATATTGATATATTTATAGTATTTCAGACCTGTTTTTACTAGTATTGAAATATATAACATTCCTATCATATTGGTAACGGTTTTATCCACAAAAAAGATGAATTAGCGTTTATCACTATAGAAAAATGGCCCCCTTGAGGAAATGTCAGAAAATTGGTGTATTAAATAAGTTCCAGCCTCGCTGCTGTGCCAGAGAGTAGCACTAGGGGCTCGCCATAGCCCGTGCTACTTGGGACTTAGTGTGTTCCCAGCAGTTGTATCTTTAGCAACGATAATAAACACAATTGGGGAGTAATTGTGCTAAACGTCAGACGTGTGGGCTCAGTATATGACATTATTTATTTATTTATTTGTATTTATTTGTATATATTTATTTATTTTTATTTATTTGTATATATTTATTTATTTTTATTTATTTTTATTTATTTATTATTTATGTACTTTTTATTTTTCATTTATTTTTCATTTATTTACTTTTATTTATTTTTATTTTATTATTTATTTTTATTTATTTGTATTTATTTATTTTAATTTTTCTGTTTGTATTTACTTATTTATTTATATTTATTTATTTTTATTTATTTATTTTATTTATTTATTTATTTATTTATAAGAATGTACATTGGGGGTTAAAAAGAATACATAGAAATGAAGTTGATTTGACATTCTTGTACAGCCACCAGCACACGCAGCGTTTCTGGCAGGAATAATAATGCAGTAACCTGCGAATTTGTTCGTTTTATTTTCAATTAATGGAAATTAGTGGAACACGATATTGAAACTCTCGGAGATTGATTTATTATAATTTAGTTCAAACTAAGAATTAGCAGTCCCTGTGGCGAAGTGGTAACACTCGCCTGGCGTTTCACGAGCGCTTTGGCTTGGGTTCGTATCCTGGCCGGGGAGGATTGCCTGGGCGTCAATCCTTAACTGTAGCCCCTGTTTACCCAGCAGTAAAATTGGTACGTGGTTGTTAAACGATTTGGTGGGTCGTATTCCGGGGAAAATTAGGATGAAGGCCCAGTCAGGTAATTGTATGGTTGCTTCCTGGGCAGGGTTTGTAGTTTGACCTTGGGGGAGTCCTAGATATAAGCCTAACACAAGCTACCTGTCCCCGACAAAATTAATTATACAGGAGTTTAACATTGAACTACTTCCTCTTTATAATTGAGGCGTTTTAAGTATTAGTTTCTGCATTTACTAGTTATTCTAACCTTGCCCAGGATTAAAGCAGCATTTACGCATCTACTTTACATCTTTTCTCAATGTTTAGTAACTGTTTATATGTATTAAACAATTTATGAGTTCAGAAGCACTAGGTGGCTTTAACATTTGACTGGGAAGCTTCGATGCTCGTAAACTGTTTAATAAATGTAAACCAAGCTGCAAAAGATTGAGAAAGGGTATCCAGGTTCAAAGTAAATGCATAAATCCTTGTTGAATTCCGGCCAAGGGCCGGATTCATTAAGCAGTTATGATGCAAGAACTGTCAAAACATTTCATTCTCATCGCCTTCTCGGCGGTAACTTTACGATCCAACAAACTGTTTACGAATACTGATATTCCTAAGATCACCCCTTGACGCCAAGACATCTCCAGAGCACTCGTAGATTTACGTAAATCATACATAGGTCAACGACGTTTCGGTCCGTCCTGGACTATTCTCAAGTCGATTGTGAATGGTCGACTTGAGAATGGTCCAGGACAGACTGAAACGTCGTCGTCCCTTCACTTTCTAGTGTGTGGTCTGGTCAACATGCTTCAGCCACGTTATTGTGACTCCTCGTCTGCATACATAGGTCAAGTTTTCTCAATCATACAACCAGAATCTCACAAAATAATACCTTCGTTGGCTGATCCCGTCATGCCGGCAATATATGCCTTGTGTGTGTCCGTAACTCTTATTAAATATGTATTTTATAAAAAGACACAAATCAGCATAGCAAGTTGGTATATAAATAATAAATCAATATTAACTGCTATTCATTTAAACTTAAGAGAAGTCAGTAGTCACAGCGATGTGAAGTACAAATAGACGCGACTGACCACCAGAAAGTAGAATTTTGCGTTACTGAATTTTGAACAAACCGGAAAAGGTTATATATATATATATATATATATATATATATATATATATATATATATATATATATATATATATATATATATATATATATTCCTCGGCCCAGTATAGCACATATGTAGTATATTAAACCTCAGACAACATATATTAGGCCTAGGATAATTATATTAGGCTTTATTTGGAACATATATATATATATATATATATATATATGTTCCAAATAAAGCCTAATATAATTATCCTAGGCCTAATATATGTTGTCTGAGGTTTAATATAGTACATATGTGCTATACTGGGCCGAGGAATTCTTAAGTTTGTGTTTTAGTTTTAAGTTTAACAGGCTATAACAAATAGTACAAAAAGTACTATCACAATAGGAAAATGGGTTGGTTGTCAAATTTTTTGTCAAATTTGTCAAAAATTTTGTCAAATTTGTCAAATTTGTCAAATTTGTCAAATTTTTTGTCAAATTTGTCAAATTTTTTGTCAGTTTTTTGTGAAATTGTCAAATTTTTTGCTAATAGAAGTAGTTCACCCATAATTAGAATTGTCAAGTATTAAGTAATTAGGCCAACATATTAAATTATTCGTGGCAAAGTTAATATTGAAAACTAAGCCAAGGAATTTGAATAGGAAAATTTTTGCTTAACTTTTTTTTAATATTTACTCTATTCAAATACCGTTTACACTTTGAAATTGCTTACTCGTTTAATTTAAGTTAGATTCAGGTAACTTAATACATCGTTTTGTGAGGTTGTGAACGCTGAATTAAGACATAGTCTTAGATGCGTAAATAAGACACCTCCACTAGGCTAGGACATGATAAGGAGGAATAAAACCAATGTTCTCGTTTCATGTTATTTAATAAGGTACAGTTAAGTTCAGCTGTAAACCGAGAAGATAGCCCTTGTATCAGTCGTTTATTGTCAACAATGTTATAAGGAGAAGATTGCGAGGAAAAGATGTTATGAAGTAGCAAATTATATATATATATATATATATATATATATATATATATATATATATATATATATATATATATATATATATATATATATATATATATATATATATATGCGCTTGTCAAGTAAATATTTTTTTTATAAAGCTGGTAACAAGTCGGCGAAACTATTCAAACATCAGCCTGTAGCTGTTAGGTACAAGGAGTGAAATTTCCCATTGTTAATATTTGTTGAACAAATAACGTGTTCTGCCCCTTGCTTCTGAACAAAACACGGGGAGAAATATTATCGTACAAGCCGCCATCGAACAACGAAACCAAACCATTGCATAGAACGCTGCGGTATTCATTTTTCTCTTTAACTAACGTCTATTCCTCACTCTCGGTTAGTGAGGCAACACTGGCAGCGTTCCCTGTTTCCTGTATTAGTATTTATAATATTGCGTCACTGTTTTTCCATATCACAATCTTCCATATCACAATCCATCGTGGTGGCAGAGCCGATAATTCACGGCTCATTGTGCCATTAGGCTTTTTCCCCCCCAACCATTGTTTGGGAACTTGTAAGAAGTCTTCATCGTCCCTACGCACACAGTAACTAAGGTCACCAAATGCACCTTCCCGCCTCCTCTAAAGGTAATCACGATTAAGAGTATAGTAATTGTTCCTGTGTAATGCGAATTGTAGCGACCTTTAAGGCGATACTGGTCATCCCAAACCAGAATGTCGGTGGTAGGCAGCCACCCTGCGGCACCCCGCCACAGACCAACCAACTTCAATCAGTAAACTTTACCCACCTAACTTCAATACGCTTTCCTTATGTTTACATTTAGAGGAGTAAGGAATATAACTTATAAACATGAACATGTTTGAACAGCGTAGAAGATTTGAGATTGTCATATAACAGATTTATATAATATAAAACAACATATATTGATGTATATATATTTATATATATATATTTACTGAATCTTAGAACTTGTAATATTGTAAATGTAAGATAGCATAAGGCCTATGAAGTATAGAAACAATTTGTGTATATTTCTGAACGTCAGAGGGAAAACAAATTCTCTTTTTAAATATCCTTTGTCCTCACGGCAAGGCTATGTATATAATCATTTAAGTTTGATGATGCAATAAAATGCAGTATAGGCACTTATGTATGTCACACAGAAATGCAAGGTCATACACATGTATAACCATCGTATTTATGAAAAATATACAACAGAGCAATTTCGTTTAAAATCTTTTTCCTCCTCTAGAGGTTAAACAATGTATTTTACAAGAGGAAGCGAGTGCAGCCAATACACTCTAGAGCATTTAACATGTGCGCGGGTTTTTGTTTTTTTAATGTAAGCAAATGATTAGCTGACTCGCATTTTGCTGTCTTTATACAAAAGGATTTAACTTATACATCATAAGTATACAGCTACCATATACTGTACTGTACAATTACAAGAGTTAAGAGATATACAGTATGTGACAGTGTGAAGGACTTGTATCAGAGAGCCGGTGTATTTACGAGATTCTGTAACACACACACACACACACACACACACACACACACACACACACACACACACACACACACACACACACACACACACGGGGCCGCCTCGCGGCTGAGTAGACAGCGCTTGGTGGTCGCAGTCCCAATGGCCCAGGTTCGATTCCCGGCGGAGGCGGAAACAAATGGGCTAAGTTTCTTTCACCCTGATGCACCTGTTCACCTAGTAGTAAATAGGTACCTGGGAGTTTACCAGCTACTACGGGCTGCTTCCTGGGGATGTGTGTAGGAGTGTGTTAGAGAGAAATAGATGCAATAGACATAATAAGAGGAAAAATTAGATTGGCTAGAAAGGCGGGGTCCAAGAGCAAAATAGCTTGATTCTGCCGACACAAATAGTAAAAATACAAATATTAAAAAATACTCACACTCATTTATACAGAGATTTAGCTCATCACACTGAGCTAAATCACACCCACAGCTCACCACACTGAGCTAAATCACACCCACAGCTCACCACACTGAGCTAAATCACACCCACAGCTCACCACACTTAGTCTGGCAACCCAGTATCACATCCAAAGTATTGATTGGCAATTATTTCCTTGCAGAGGCTTCGTTAATGTGAATAATACTGCGTTCTCTCTTATTTGTGCCATCTCCTCAGGCTATGCAATAGTTAACCCTTCAAATGAAAACTGTTCCATACTCAAGAGCAGTGAGTTTTATTTAGTTCTGAATTGTCAAACAATTATATGATGATGGTCATATTATTGAAATAATATTATTAGTAAATATGTGTCGACCTGACTTGAGAATGGTCCAGGACGGACCGAAACGTCGTCGTTCCTTCACCTTCTAGTGTGTGGTCTGGTCAACATAGTGAAAATGATTAGTTATCTATTGGAGACGATGAGTCACAATAACGTGGCTGAAGATATGATGACCAACCCACACACATCAGAGCAATGAGGCGACTTGAATCAACATTGTATTGACCTGCAGATGCTTTTCTCGTTGATATATTGCGCCAATATGATTTGTGTACGAAGGTGTCTATGGGACTGTCAGACTACTTGCATTCACGGTTGTCTCAAAATCTGCCTGGTAGTATTTTTTTTAATGTCAGTGGTATTATGAACGTATTGAGAGAGGCTCGGGATGGCTTTAGAAGGTCCTGGAGAGTTTTATGTTAAAACGATTGAGTCAGTGGATGTAATTATTCATACTGTACTCTGTGAAGTAGGTCACATAGCCCTCGGTCTATACCAAACACTACTATGCTACTGAGACAGGACATCGCGTCCAACAATTGATCATCACTGATGAAAACATTGAAAGGCAGTATAATCAATTAATCAGCCGCTGTAGGGAATGATTTGCTCCGCTTTCAAAGAGCGGTATTGGTCACTTTCTGCTAGCAGACACGCCTTAAAGGATTTTTCCAACTTTTACAAACACGAATCATGCAAACACGGGTTCACAAACACAAGTTTTACAAACACAAGTTCACATCCCGGAGAAGATGGAAGTATTCTCCCGGATGTACCCACCATCCAGTAACCAGAGACATTTACACAAATACATTTTATCGCCAACAATTTGGCGCCTTCTTATGGTAATTACTTATATCACCAACAAGTGACTCGGCTCTGATATTATGGGGAAGAGACAACTGACTTAAAATTAGTTTTTTTTATCACTTTCACCAACACCAATAACGTCAGGATATGTCTAGCATCAGTAACAAACCACATTTACATTTGCTTTACTAGCATATGATTTAGAAACAAATCCCGTATAATTGAGGAAATAAAACTATACAAGATAGGTGGAAAACAAATTTGGCAACAGACTTGTGACGTCACGCTCGTCTCCACCAATCACTGGCCAACACACACTGAGACGAATGGCCAGATGTGACAAGTCTGGCGTTGTTGTACACAACCCGGGTTATCTGTTTGCCGGAACTCTAAGGCCAGTGTGCAGCATGACCACTAACACCAAGATATCACAAGCCCCGTGAAGAGGACTGACATTACTACCCACGTCTGGAGCTGGGGCAGGCGACGCGCGCTCTCACGTGGGTGACTGGGAAGAAGGTCAGTCAGGGAGGAAGATAGCAAAGGAGAAGTCTTAGATTGTCTTCTCTAGGCGAAGACAAAACCCAGGATTGATGTAGTTGCTGGCTTGCAGGAAGTTTTGGGGGGTCAGACGGAAGACTCAGCAACTGGGAGATGGGATGTGGGGTTAATGGTGATGAGAAATGAAGCTAGGATGTGAGGGGTTAGGAAGTTAGGAAAGGGGTACGATGCCCTCATGTAGGAGGGTGTGGCCGGGAGATATCGATGGTGCGAACCTTGGAAGCATCGTTACTGAGGAGCTGAAGCTTGGCATGGTCCGTCTCTGGCATGATGATGCACATAAATGTGGAGCCTGTGTTGGGGTCTCTCGGGTAGATGGTCAGGGGCGGGAAGACCTCTCCAGCCTCCACGTACGCCGTCAGCTTCCGGTGGACATCAGGGTACTGATGCCGCAGGCTGATGCCCCTTTCCCGCAGGTGCCGCACAATGTTGTTGAAGGCGATGTGTCTGGCCGCCTGCGGTGACGTGTTCGAGTCGGGGATGGGTGCTGAAGTGAGGATAAGCGTCTCGGGCTCATCCATGTCCCGCGTGATGACGTGTCGTTCCGGACGCGGGCTCCACGTGTCCGTACCGCGAGCTACAGCAGTGAGCCGTAATTTTGCGCATTGCGATACCACCTCGCGCTCCCACTTGGGCGACGACCCTGTAGGAATCTCGTTCATAATACATATACTAACATACAAGACAAACTTATACTCGGTGTTATAGTGTTTACAGAGGTCGGTGATCTGCTTGTAGACCTCCGAACCTGTCTCCTGAGGCAGAAGGTTCTGGATGGTCAGGTAGTGCGCATCTGGCACTTCGCCACCACCTACGAATGTCTCAGCGGCTTTCGTGTCATGGAAATACACCTTGACAGTGCCACGGCCCAGGGCACGGGCTCCACGGCGTGCCACGGCACTAATTCGCTCCAGCACGGTGTCATCCTCCCTCACCCGTGCCGTCACCTGCTTAGCCACGGCCAGCGCGCGGATTTTTTTACACTGCCGCTTGTGTCTCTCCCAGTGTTGACGGCGACACGCTCGCGAGCAGTAGAAGGTGCAGCAGTTGTGGCACATCTTGTAGCTCCTGCGGACTTCTTCTGTGTCCGCAGCTTGCCCGCAGCCGGGGTTGCGGCATCGCACCCCCAGAGTCGGTACCCCAGACTCCTCCTCTGCGTCGACTCGGACGTTCTCGTTGCCATTCCCGTTCTCAGAGGAGGAGTCTGGAGGGATGTTCATGTGTCTGGGGGGAAGGTGGAATGTGACGCGGGGCCCCGCAGGCGGCCGGGACTCGATGATGGAGGGAGCCGCAGCTATCACGCTACTGAAGAGAAGGGCTCCGGTCAGGGGATCAGACGGACACACTCTAGCCACCTCCGGCGTCGCCCGGTGAGGAGGTGAGGCGCCCAGCTGATTGACTTGGCCGGATTCCTGGCTGTCGGGGACAAAGTGACTAGAAACATTGGTCTGTTGAGGCTGGGAGTGGCTGCCGCGGACGCTGGGAGTGACTGTGTGGGTTGGAATACTCTCAGAAACACTTGCTCTTGATGTGTGGGTGTTGGGGGCAGTGTTGCTGGTACTAGATACTTGTGCATTACGATACCATGAGTGTGACACTTGGGTGTTGTGAGAGTTGACCACAGTGTTGGAGTTTGTGAGAGTGGAGGAGTGTGAGTGATTAGTGAGAGCAGTGGAGGTCGGGTGAGAGAGAGGGGAAGAAAGGTGAATGTTTTGAGAGAAGTTGGGCTGTGAGTGTGGCTTGATGTGGGCGGGGAAGATACGCGGACTGTGAGTTGAGATGGTGTAGGCATCCTGTGAAGGGGCGCAGGGGGCAGTGTAAGCAGCGTGGGCGTGCGTAGCAGAGGGGAGGACATGGGCGTGCGAGGGCCTGTGAGTGACCAAGGCGGCAGAATGGTGGAGCAAGACGCCGGTGTGGTTGGCCTCCGTCAGGTGATGGGCGGTGATGGTGCCCTCCGGTCCAGACAACTCCAGCGTCTCCACGCGACGCGCTGTGGTCGCTCTGCCCCTCAGGTGCACGTGCGTTTGCGCGTGCGTAGTGCGGGCGTGTGAGAGGGTGTGCGTGGTGGGCGGCTCACTGGGAATATCACCTGGAACACAGCCGTGCGTCAGGCAGAGAGAGATAGAAAGGTCAGAGAAATGGAAGACAGAAATGATACAGTAAATATCTGCTAAACAATGGAGAAGTTTTGTCAACAATTTGCAACATGGTAACTTAAGAGAAAGGATTTACCATATGTCCATTCTGTCAACAAAACTTTTAAACACTAGAAAACGCAAGAGCGACTCCGTTTACATAACAAAAATACTCCTAAGTAATGAAACCTGAACAATTCAGTTTACTAAATCCTTGTATAATTAGTCGCTAGAGCGGTCTCCAGAGTATAATCCATGGCTTAACATTATCATGCAGTGGCAATCAGGAGCAAAATAAGGTCGGCACGAACTCAAGTGAGTTCACAAGTTAATCATACAGAAGGCATCGGATTTATCATTTTTTTAAAGAACTCTGGAGCAGTTAGGAGTTTCGGCCATCAACACAGAATATTTGGAGCATGTTAAACTGTTAGATTAATTGATTGAAAGAAAATATGAAATTTAGCAAATGTTAAATAAATTATATATAAACGTTTATCTAAAAATGTCAACAAAATAACACACTCCGCGGTGTCTGCAGAAGGCTGTGACGTCACTTGTAATAATATGTGTAATTTCATTCTTATCAACCAATTACGAGGCTTCACAGGTGGACGGTTTTCTTGTGTGACGTTATTGTTCTACAAAATTTGCAACGTTCGAAGATTTAATTATATATATATATATATATATATATATATATATATATATATATATATATATATATATATATATATATAGGAAGAAGAGTACCACCTCTAGCTCCAATATATATATATATATATTATTTATTTTTTTATATATTTATATTATACAGGTGACGCCATACCTTGCAAAGTACTGTTAGGCCTAGACTGTTCAGATCTATAGGCTAACACTCTCGGTGTATCATGGTAGTTAAGTATCTTTACACTACACCTAGTATTTCATGACTTATCCGCTGTTCTTTTTAAGTTATCTGTACACTTTTATAATGTTACAGCTTTGACCTTTTGCAATTAAAAGAATAAACTATAGTACTAGACAATATAAATATGCAATGCTGATCAAAATGCAAAATATAATTACACAGCATGTTTAAAAAACAAACATTCCAACACAAAACAACATATCAGTTCGCGTGCTGTGGTGTGAAACATTCACCCTTAACCAAATATACAAATATTGACAGGGGAAAAAAGGTTGTCGAGTGCAGTCTCACCCTTATTTTTTCGACTTATTTTCTAAGAGGAAGGGTATGGTCAGCTTTAGGCTGAACCTGAGCTCTTCTGAAGTTTGTTTTGGGGGGATATTGGGAATCCACTTAATAAATCTGTGTACCCATTCCTCGCTCTTTCTTAGAAAATTGAAAAAATATTGTGAGTTCGAATCCAATAAGTAAATGCCGATTAAACAATATCCACTGATAAGTCAGCAAATTTGTTGAAAAACACTTTTTGTGTGTAATTTGTTAAACCTACTTTTGCTATATTTCAGCAGTGAGCGCTAGTTTTAAATGTGGAAAAATGCAACTTTTATATTATTAGCCAACAACCTTTTCTGTAGCAGATTGGGCAGTTGGTCAACACATTATCAGGGAACATTTACCACACAAAATGGGGACCAACTTAATTGTTTGACAAGACACAATGAGCCCTACTAGATGTTTTCCATAATTTCTATTGGTTGTGCTAATATCGTATAGTTTTCCTTTGCGTGATTTCATTTCACTTTGTTTTAGCCAAGGTAGTCCTGATTTGAATAGATCTCCAATATGGACTAGAATTCTAGATTATCTAGAAGTTAGAAAAATGGACCGTCATTTGACCTATACCTCGGGTAACTCATTAGGTCCTTGTCAAACGATTTCATCCTAAAAATTTGCCAACCAGCTGAGCCCCACATTCAGTTTATACTTTGACAATGATGTTTATGACTTGATTTGCCAATTCGGAGGATGGAGCGTAAAAATTGACATTTATATAACAAGCCAATTAGAACCAGGGAAAATACAGTGTTGACCAATGGGGGATTCGGGAAGGGAGAGGCGGGTCACCAAGCAAGCTGGGTATCTTAGGAGAATGACTTTAAAAAAAAAAAAGTTTGACCTGCAGGGCCCGTCGAACTATTATGAAGCATTGATCTCTTAAAATTTTTTTTCATCCGAGATGATGACATCTTTCCATAGCGAAATCTGCTCTTCCGAGTGGCAGAGGCTTCGCTGAATAGTGAGCTAGGCCAGAATGATGTTATTGACACCCTATCATAGCAAACCGGTTTTCCAAATAAAGCATTCTAAGCTTTTGTCATTACTAGTGTCAGGCCAGGGGTAACCCCCTGTTTTGTTCTAATAGTACAATATTTTCAATAAATCGATCTGACAACAGTATTATTTCAACAGAAAACATCTTTTACAAAATCTAAATTTTACTGTACTATTAACTTTATAAATTTACAGCCTATTGTATGGTCTGTCAAACATGGCCTGAAGTTAATTGTTTCATGGTACAGCAATTGCAAAAGTGTTTTTCACATCCTGTTGTTGTAACTACAACGTTCAGCAGTAGCTTAATTGCCTTTTATATGCCCATAATGTAATGAAGCTGTAATTGCTAATCTCTCGCCTTTAAAAGGCAGATATTTCACTAATTACCAAAATAATCATTCGATAGCCATGATGTACCTTTAATTTATTTGTTTTGCCCTAAAATATTCACATAACCAGTAAAATTTATATCCATCTGCATAAATCATCCCTATATGCCTAGTAATGTTAAATTAATGACTTCGAATATAAGATAGGCAATCCTTTTTAACTTGCTGGGATGGACTAATGTAACGTCCTCAAGGGACCTGATGGGACTCGTTGTACCCTGAGGGCGTCAAGTCGATACAATCGTGAGCCCACAGCTGACTTGAACCCTTCGCTAGCTCTTAATTCCATTGCTTTAAAATCCATCTTAAGACACTGCCGAATCCTTCTTCTCCGGCATAAGCAATTCTCAGCCTTACCGACGTTTTGCCCTAGCTCTCAAATCGTCAGTCGTCTCTCTTAGTTTTGAGCACCAAAGTTCTTAGTGTCATTAATGTTCGTGGTATCCCAGCTCTAGCACTCACCACCGCTAATCCTGTATACTATCAAGCTCTCAACGCCATCAATTCTTTAGTCTAGCTAGTGCTCGGCACCATCAATCTTTTATCCTAGCTAGCACTCGAAGCCGTCAATCACTATCCTAGCTAGCATTCGGCATCATAAATCACTCTCCTAGCTAGCTCTCTGCACCATCAAAGCCGTCAATCACTATCCTAGCTAACACTCGGAATCATCAATCATTATCCTAGCTAGCACTCTGAACCATCAATCACTCTCCTAGCTAGTACTGTGCCATTGCTTCTATACCCTAACTCGCAACTCCGTCAATCGTTTATCCTAGCCAACTCTTTGAGTCGGCAATTCTCTTTCCGAGCGCCAAGCAACGCCAACACTCACCCTTGCAAGCACTGTTATTTCTGTTTGCTAAAACTACCCAAAAATTTTGGCTGCAGGCTTCAACACGTTCGTCAAGCCAAGATCGTCGTGGGGATCTTTCTCTTGATCGTCTCCAAAAAACAAATGACTAGTTAGCAGCCTACGTTATCATGCTAGGAGACCGCCATGGGCTCCATACTGCGGGCCACTTGACTAATCAAGCAACGCTGCAGCTATTTGATCCACTTCTAAATGCTCACAAAGGTGTTAGGATGAAGAAATACTCTATTTTCTCGGAAAATAAGACCATATTCTTGCTACAGAATAGAGTCTACATTTTCCATCGTAACATTTGTTTTCAATGCGGTCAAGCACTTTGATCTTCATTCCATCGTGAAAGTAATACTTATGTATTCCAAGAAGCTACTTGGATGAAGCTTGCTGTGAGACAATCATCTCGTATAGAGACCCATTGTTTTAGACATTGAAACGTTAGCATTAGATATTTTTGACAAACACATCAAGAAGCTTGCTTAGCCTGGAGAGAAGCCCGTGAACACAGTGCGCCATGCCAACCTCAATGCCGACAGGAACTCGTATGACATTCAGCAAAGTAACTTCCCAGAATACGGCATAAGTGCGAGACCAAAGCTGGCCTCAAGTTCGTGCCTTGCGTCCAGTGAGTCAAGCCAAGCGTGGGTTATACATCAGGAGCTGGGCGTGGCCGGGGCGGATTTGCTGTTAATTCATTGGTCCACGTGGAGCAACGGTTAGCCAATCAGATGCTAGCAAGATTCTCTATTGACAAACGCCTACTTAAGTAGTTCGCTAGGTTAATTGACCAATTAGCGTTATTTTATATACTAGGTTGCGTGGAAACTGAACGGTAAATTTGTCTCTGTTTACATTTTGAAATTGTTAGCATTACATTTAAAATAATTCTTTGACAGGAATATTTATAGTTTGAAATTTGTTGGGAAATTTAGTAGAGCTTGCAAAATTTTAATCTAGACATATTTAATCAGTATTATTTAAATCCTTTATACATTTTATATACATATATATACTGATATAATATATATATATTTATGTATTATATATACACACAGATTCACACTTGTTTACACAATCTTAAAAGGAATCTTTCACAACCTTGTATACCACATATGTAAGACCAATCCTGGAGTATGCGGCTCCAGCATGGAGCCCGTACCTTGTCAAACACAAGACGAAGCTGGAAAAAGTTCAGAGGTATGCCACTAGGCAAGTCCCAGAACTAAGAAGCATGAGTTATGAGGAAAGGCTGCGTGAAATGCACCTCACGTCGCTGGAAGACAGAGGAGCTCAGGGTGACATGATCACTACCTACAAAATTCTCAGAAGAATTGACAAGGTAGATAAACATAGACTGCTTAACGCGAATGGAACGCGAACAAGGGGACTCAGGTGGAAAGTTAGTAACCATATGAGCCACAGGGACGTTAGAAAGAAATTTTTCAGTGTCAGAGTAGTTAACAGATGGAATGCATTAGGCAGTGATGTGGTGGAGGCTGACTCCATACACAGTTTCAAATGTAGATATGATGGAGCCCAGTAGGCTCAGGAATCTGTACACCAGTTGATTGACAGTTGAGAGGCGGGACCAAAGAGCCAGAGCTCAACCCCCGCAAGCACAACTAGGTGAGTACACACACACACACTCACATACTACACTTTTAGACCTACATAAAGATCCCATATCTTCTTGCATATTCTTACGGGCTCACTATAGCCCGTGCTACATGGACACCTCGTTCTGAGTAGCTAAATCTGAAACAACATTCTTGCATAGCAAAACTACTCACAACGCGGGCTTTTACTCTACATTGACATCATACCTTCCCAGTGTCTTATGCATCACTTACACCATAATTTCCCCTGTGCCTTACCAGACTGTTTCTATTATCATATACACGTGTCGCTGTTCTACATGGTCAGTTCTAGACATTCTGCCCCATGTCCTCGCAACCTCTCACATAGGTCTGTGTGGTCACATGTAAGACACAGCAAGTCCCAGCTGTGTCTGGGTACAAGTGACAGGATGAACAACCCAACGGGTTTTCTTCCTGTTAGGAGGGTGTTGTACATGCTGCTATGGCGGTGTGTCCACTCACAAGATGAGTGGCGCTGCCCAATACTGTCACTATGGCGGTGTGTTCACTCACAGGATGAGTGGCGCTGCCCAATACTGTCACTATGGCGGTGTGTCCACTCACAGGATGAGTGGCGCTGCCCAATACTGTCACTATGGCGGTGTGTCCACTCACAGGATGAGTGGCGCTGCCCAATACTGTCATTATGACGGTGTGTCCACTCACAGGGTGAGTGCCCAATACCACAATAAGAGTGCCCAGTCCATGCCACAGGGTGAGTGGCGCTGCCCAATAAACTCGCCCCTCAGGGCAGCAAAAACTAAAAAAAAAAAAAATAAGCGCACGCACACGTGTATACGAACTACAGACAAGAGCACACACATGTATATGTTGATGCAAAACTGACAAGAACAGCTAGGACTAAGAAGGGGCTCTATGCCCCAATAAGCATCTGAATAAGATCTATACCCGTTGGGTACTATATCCAGCCCTGGCGTTGACTCAGCGTTATCAACGTTACTTGAACGTTGGTGGCATTGATTCGGCGTTAAATTGATGTTTTCCTTATTGTGCCCACTGGGGATATGGCGTGATACATGGCTACTCGACGTTAATCATAACAAGTGTAAGGTAGTGAAGTGTGGGAAGATAAAAGGACACCAGAAGGACTCAACTCAGTGTTGATAAAGAAACACACACACACACACACACACACACACACACACACACACACACACACACATCCACAGGCCATAATGACTACAATCACTTTGAGTAATGACAAAAAAAAACACGCTCAAATCGCATGTAATAGTCATCCAATAATCCATTTAGTGCTAAAATTTTGGTAACAGCTCCACCACCTCAACAATCTGGATGAACTCTGTCGGGTCCTCAGAGGTGAACAATTCTGGTCCAAATCTGCCGCCAGCCACAGGACGCCCCCGCTGTACCAGTCCTGTTGTGCGCAACTAAAACAAAATGCTGTGGGGACACGCAGACAGGTGACTGAGGACTTAGAGGCTGTACCTGAGGAGGGAACAAGGGGGTGTTGTCGACGAAGAGGAGGGGGTAGTGGTTGGAGGCAAGCGTGGGCCTCTCTTCTCTCTTTCTCTCTCTCTCTTTCTCTCTCTCTCTCTCTAAACTACTGCTTGGTCATTGAACAACACAAGAGGTAATGTCGTTTGGTCCGTGATACTAGACTACTTGTGCTTGGCCTGGAAAAGGTCACAGGTCAAGAGTCATCCTAGAGTCACAGCTTCCTAGAAAGGGAAATGAGTGAGGGTCATATCGACGCCTTTGTGTCATGAGAGGTGACAGGTCAAGAGCCTAATGGCTGTGGCACTTAAGTGTGTTCCGAGTGAATAAAAAGACTTACTCATTCTGTACACTCTATGTCTGCACTCGAGAAATTAACTGCAAATAGAAAATCGTTATATTTTTTTGTAAATTGCACATTTTTACTGATTTTGACATATGAAAATATAGCAACTTTGACTGGAATGAAAGATCCTTGAGTATTACATATCAGATAATCACACGACACAATTCTACATTGATACAAATCCTAAACAGCAAAAGGAGGACCTCGCCCCAAGACCCATACAACAATGGTTAAGGATAGTGTATCCTACAAAGCTCCCCGAGGGATCCTGGCCTTTGTAGGACACTCTTCATCCCTCTTGATGCCTAGAGCGAGTTGGTCAACAAGCCTTGAGCCCGTTGGATTAGTTTCTATTGTGATCATGTGGGATAGGTCGCTTGGACAATGGAGGTAGGGCAGACATAAACATCCCGATGATGGCGCCACACTAGCGCCGCCAGGGTGGCGTCAGCGTGACGCCTCAGAGGGCCCAAAAGGGTGGGGGAGGTGGTGAAAGGTGAGTCACAAAAAAGCAGAAGCAAACCGACACTGTGAAACTTACTCAGTGCTCTCACCTTCGCCCCTCCCGAGGAAGAAGGACACGGAGGATCCCTCAGAGGGTGGAGGATGGTCTTGAGGATTGTAGTAATGGTGCCCCATGGGGAAAGTCGCCCCCATCGGCTGCTGCTGGGGCTGCTGCAAGCTGTTGTCGCCGCTGCTGGAGCTGTAACTGAATGACTTGCGGTAACCCTCGTTCTTGAAGTCGGTGGGAAGATCGTGGTTGCGGAGGTAGCCATAATGGAGTTCTTCGAGAGGGTGTACTCCTGTCACTTGCGCCTGAGGTTGGTCGAGGCTACGGTGTGAGGTGTGAAGGGCGGCGTCCCTCTCCTCGTGCCCCCTGGTGAACCCTGGGTGACTGAAGGGCCGCCCTAACGGATGGTGACTGTTGACGGGGCTTGGCGACCTGGAAGCGGAGGGCAAGGCCAGAAGGGAATCCAAGACGTCCTCAAGTGTGGTGGTGTCCGTCACCTGATCACGTGGAGTGGTCTCAAGGCTGTCTCCTTCCTTCTGATGACTAGCAAACGTCCTTCCCACACTCTCATCTCTATTATAATGGCTGTCATATCGTGTTCTGCCGCCATAGTGGGAAAGATAAGTGTCTCCCACCGCCTCCTGGAACTTACAGGGTTCTTTACAAGGATTTCTGTAGGACACGTCAGCGGGCCGTCTCGTCTCTACGTCCTGTGTTGGAGCGTCGTATGGGAAGATGGCGCCCTTGACACCTGAGCTTCCAGTGACTTGATAGAGCATTGGGGCTGGCTGGATATTCCCGCCAGTGTGCTGCAGAGGCTTCACGGGCTGCGGCGTCAGGTTAGCTTCAGAGGGCGTCACGTCGTCCTCAAACACGGCATGTTCCCGCCCTGAGAGCTCCTCCACTTCAGCACTTCCCGGGGAAGCTTGCATGTCGTCTCTGCTGCTGCCAATGCTCCCTCGACTGCTACACCCACCGCTGCTCCTGCTGCTCAGTACGCTGTTTCTGCTGTTTAGGCTGTCGATGTTACGGCTACTAAGACCACTGTTGACGGTATCAGCAGTGCTGTGTCTGCTACCTACTGTGCTGCGGTCTACCGTGCTCTGCCCACTATCTGATAGGCTGTGTCTACTGTCTGCTCTACTGCTGTCACCTATGCTGCTATCAACGATGACAGCTGTGCTGTCGTTGGTGCTGGCCGCTGTGCTGTCTTTGCTGCTGTCCCGGAGGCTGCTGCACGCGCTGCTTAAGCTGTTCACGAGGCTCGCCAACTCTGCAAAATGAGAAACAGTAAAACAACAGCTCTGCATTTTCGAGGTGTAAAACAGCACAGCCTAACGAAATCAATTTCCATAATTTTCATTCAATTTTTCTTATAGAAAAAAATTAATTCTACGTTACTTTATTTGCAAATATACTTCCAAAAATACATTTTTAAATTGATATTTAAAAACACATATTAGTCGATTTTGAAAGTACAGGTTTAGTGATGAAAAATGTGCATAATTTTAGGCTTTTAAAACAGTAACTACGCCTCCAGGGAGATGACAGATTAACAAGACAAAAGACAAATGAAAGGAATTAATGTGCACGAATACCAGCGAGTTGGTCGAGGAGGATTTTTATGGCACGCGAACGATAACAGATCAAATAGGCCCTTGAAGTTAGCAGTGATGGACGGGACTTTGTATTGGGGAGGATATTCTGTGGTGGTGATGTTATGCTTGAAGCTCTGCCCACCTGCATACACCAGGCTGATTGATTGATAAAGATTAAGTCACCACAAGAGGTGACACGGGCATGAGTAGCCCGTATATAGGTGGTAGCCGTTTGGAGTGAATGTGGTTTTTTGGTCGATACACCAGGCATTGCATGTGAATTTATATTTCCAATCTGTACCCCCGTCGTTGTTTTCCGCCTCATCTGGAAAAGAGCGTATCCACTATGTCTATTCCTCTCGGTATCGCATTTGTTGATCATGTCGCCCCAGGTGACGCTTTCTTAACTAGCACTCATAAACTCGGCTCTATCTCGGCAACCTTGTGTGGACAGAATTATCCCATTGGGTATTTCACCGCTTGGATATGGCATGACGAAACATGAGATCTATAAATTTGGCCCGAAAATAACGAATAAATACTTAGATGTGGCCCTGAATGAATCGCAAATAATTACATGCAGGGCTCCCACATGTTCAATTTTGTCTACTCTGTAACAAGGGTTTTGAGCAGATCTTGAACAGGAAAAGTTTGAGTGTGAGCTTGTTGACCCCGTCCTAGACCTTTGGATGTTTTGATAATCTCAGCAAGGATGAGGAACAGCAGCTCCACACTGTTATAACCCGCCATCAATTCTAAAAGTATATTTCTAAGCTCTGTATATGTTCCAGATGTGAGGAGTGAGAGCAGGAGTCGGTGGAAGAGAGGCAGAATGCTGTGGGGAGATTGCTAGAGACTGAGAGCCGTGAGTGCAGTTGGCAGTGCAGTTGCTCAAGTGTCCCACATTTTTCTCCCAAGTGATATCTTTAGAAGAAACGGCTAAGTCCAATGTAAGTGTATTTTCCCTTGTCCGGTATGTTATCTCTATTATCTGTAGGTCTATACAATATTTAGAGAGTCTATTTACCCGTTAACTAAATAAATTATAACAGTTATCAAGCATTACTGTTCTAATTTATTTGGTAATAGCCAAATAAATAGTAATAATTACAAAATCCTTTGTAGTACTCTTTTTGATTCAATTAACCAACATTATGTCCTTGTTTTAAATTTATGGCCACAAGTTAGCCAGGACATGAATACCCAGGATGCTTTGTCAGAGACCGGGCCGCGGGGACCTTGAACACCGGTACCATCGCAAGGTAACCCCAAGGTAAAGTAGCCTGACTTAATACTTTGCAATTGTCACCAACCAAGACTTAGGAGGAGTTGAAGAGTGTAGTGTGGGCTGCTATGACCACCAATGGAAGTGTTCACACCATTTATATCTTGCTAGTCATAAGCTTCATATCGAAGCAAGAGAATTAAACGAATTGAAGGATACAGTAATATTCACTTTGCGGTATGTAGAGAAATCCCTAAAGAACCATAACAGGAGACAGAAACACGGGAGTCATTGCTCAAACAGAACTGTGTAATACACCAAAATGTGAGGCTAAGACACAAAACTTCTGTGTAACAGCATCACAAAGAACACACGAATACTACAGTGTGCCACTATAAACAAATACGTCGGGTGGCACTACACACGAATACCTCAGGTGGCACTACACTCGAATACCTCGAGTGCCACTACACATGAATACCTCGGGGTGCCACCACACACGAATACCTTGGGTGCCACTACACATGAATACCTCAGGGCACTACACACAAATACCTCGGGGTGCCATTACACACGAATACCTTGGGTGCCACTACACATGAATACCTCAGGGCACTACACACAAATACCTCGGCTGCCACTACACACGAATACCTCGGGTGGCACCACACACGAACACCTCGGGTGTCACTAAACACGATAGGTACCACATGAGACACAGGGTAATTATAGGCGCATAAAATGGTAAAAATACTAGACTGGATAAAAAATATAAAACATAAATGGAAATGAATCTGTCGGGGAAAATGTGGCAAGAGGTGTACCGCAAGGTTCCATCTTGGGGTCTTCTCTCTTTGTCATATTCTATCTATGTCATTGATGTATATTACGAACCACATCCAGCAAATTTTCAGATGACACTTAAGATATATGAAGCAAAAACGATATTGAGGTCTTACAGAGATGCATGTGAACTCTAGAAATGGTCAGAAGACTGGCAAATGCTTTTCCACATAGGAAAAAGCAAGGCTTTGCATGTAGGCCAAAATAATGTGAAATTACAACTATCATTTAACAGAACTACCATGCAGCAAATTGATGAAGAAAAGGACCGAGGACTAAGGCGTCTCATTATTAAAAGTTGCACAAGTGGGAGCTGCAGTAAAAAGAAAAGCCATAGGATTAACAATACTACAAACCAGGCATGACAAAGCTGATTCCACCGAGACCTTTAAATTAATGAACAAGTTGAAGGATATTTATCCAAACCACTTTTTTTGTTAAAGTCAAATGTAACACACACAAGGCACAAAAGCTTCAAGCTCAACAAGCCACAATGTAGGACAGAAAACAGGAGATGCTTTGTCACCCATAGTTATCAAATCATGGAACAGCCTACCCGGTGAAGCCATAAATGCCAAGACATTACTTCATTTTAAAATGTAGATAGAAAAAAGATCACCACTAACAGAGGAGAGAACCTTTGACAAGCCTCCAGTTCCCGCCGATGCCACTAACAAGACAGTGGCCCTCAGATAAATTCAGGCATGCCTCAGGTGATACTACACACAAATACCTCAAATCAGTAGTGTTCGTCAAGTTTCCCATTAACGATTAATAGTTTACCATAATATAATATTTGGCATAAAAGCATGTGATCATGGCAAGAAATGTATATAATGCCCACATTTGCTGTGCAGTTATTCATTATAATCAGGGGTACTGGCTAAATTTCAGCTTGCCATTGCAATTTTCCCAAGCAGAAGATCTCCATCACTGGACAATATAACCTAAACAAAACACTACCACCAACAAAGGTTTGAGCACCTCACCACATGGTGTACTAAACTGGACAAGACACACACACTTGTGTTACTGCCATGTAGTGTACAAGAATTAGTTCAATACTCATTAATCACAGCTACAACGTGGGTCGTCCACACCTCTTGCTGTCTAGCCAGGATTCACACGAGCACTTACAAGATTGGCTTATTTTATCCCTATCACGGCTCATAAGTCTGTATTTACTGAATAGTATACGATCACTGAAGTCCTGTGAAATCATCCATAACAATATTAACCTTGGGTTGAGAATGATCTCATAGCACTTCTGTAAATTGTGCTAATAAATACTGACAAATTTGCCATGATTGAGGCGAGAGGTACTGCGTGAACATGGCCTCAACAATGAATGGTGCCGGGAAAAAATTACTTAACCAAATAATCTACAATCTACTACAATCTACTAATTACAAAAAACATTGGTTATCTACAATGCACTCTGGACAGGGTGGATATGGAACCTGTTGGCAGCCTCAATTTGAAGGTGATATTAAAGAAACATAGTCAAAGCCTTACTAACAATCTGGTTAGTAAGAGATTTGGTTAGCCATGGCAATCACTTACCACGCTGACCTGCATGATCGCAGCCTCTACAGCCCATTCTACTACACCATCATCATATTTTCATATTGTTTTCTTTTACTCCGTGCTAGAAAATAAAGGATATTATTATATAAAAGATTAAACAAAATGCAAAATACATGCTATATATAATATATAATATATATATATTATTTATATATATTATTTATATATATTATTTATATATATATATATATATATATATATATATATATATATATATATATATATATATATATATATATATATATATATATATATATATATATATATATATATATATATATATAATATAATATTAGTGTGTGTGTGTGTTTATGAATGTTAAGGAAAAGATTTTTGTGTTTCACATGCATAAAATTTCAAAACATTGGAAAAACGAAATACTTCATATTGGGAACTTTTATATAATAACATTCCATGCAGACTAATAAGGATCAAACAGGAACAGAATTCAGAAATTTATTAGCCAACATAATTATAGTGTAAGGGGGCTGTTACACTAATTTAAAATATACCTTTATATGCCCACTTGGGAACTATGAGTCTGAACAATCTCAATAATTTTGGCAAGACACATCTCAAAGCACCTGATAATACACAAACAAGAAGACTCTATCAAAGAACACACAAACCATCACCAGAGGTATCCTAACCAACAACAATACAAGATTAAACGTAGGTGAAGTATTGCATGTCAAACTTCAACTATCAACTACCAGCTTGCATTAAGGTACATTATACCATCCTCAAGATAGATCCTCAATATGCAGCTCACTCCTCACCTACCCCAGTTAACATCGATTGGGGGTAGTGTAACGTCTAATGTCACCTCGTCCCACTTGGTTATGTAACTGGATGGGGTTCAGGATGTTCCCGGCCCAGGACCAGGCTTGAGTTGTGAGAGCTTGGTCCAACAGGCTGTTGTTTGGAGGGGCCCGCAGACCCACATATCTACCATAGCCCAGTTGCTCTGGCACTTCTTGAAGAAAAATATCCAGTTTTCTCTTGAAATGTCCACGTTTGTTTCGGCAATATTTCTTATACAGTACGTACTTTATATATATAAAGGTTTTCTATATACAGGTAGAGTAAAGAGCCTAAAACTGTACTCCCTTGAGCGCAGGCGGGAGAGGTACATAATAATTTACACATGGAAAATATTAGAGGGGCTGGTCCCAGACCTGCCCACAGAAATAACATCACATGAGACCAGAAGACATGGCAGAATGTGCAGAATACCCCCGTTGAAAAACAGAGGTGCAACAGGTACTCTGAGAGAGAACTCTATCAACATCAGAGGTCCGAGACTGTTCAACACGCTTCCACTACACATGAGGGGCATAACTGGCCGACCCCTCACAGTGTTCAAGAGAGAACTGGATAAGCACCTCCAAAGGATACCTGATCAACCAGGCTGTGACTCATACGTCAGGCTGCGAGCAGCCGCGTCCAACAGCCTGGTTGATCAGTCCGGCAACCAGGAGGCCTGGTCGACAACCGGGCCGCGGGGACGCTAAGCCCCGGAAGCACCTCAAGGTAACCTCAAGGTAAGGTATATAAATATATATATATATACTAATATATATATATATATATACTGGGCCACAGGGACATTTTATTTATATATATATAAATATATACAGTATATGTAATATATAATAATATATAACCTTTATATATATGAAGGTTATACATAAGCCATATTACTTTACCAATGTAATCTTAGATATCATCTGATATCATGGTTGTTGTATTGAGTACATATTCTACTGCATTATTTATTGAAATGATCCCCATATTGTGCTTCAGTGAACCAATGTATAACCCTTTAATGTTATCCTAATGTACCTAGTAAGCCTTGTTCATTATTGCATACTGTATTGTTATTATTGTGTATTATTCTAATCTGCTTTTGTGTCAATTTCTTGCAATGTACCTATACACAAATTTTGACACTTTTGCTGTAATTATTCTACTTAAAATTATCTGTACCTGTAAAGTAAAGCTGTAAAGTACCTGTAAAAAATTTTTGTCAATTTTACTGTGAATTATCTAAAAATTATATGTTAGTTTAAGGACTTGCTCGAAATGCTATGCGTGCTAGTGGCTTTACAAAAATGTAAAATCAACTTAATTTCTATGTTCTCTGTTAACTCCCAATGTACCTTCTTGTATATAAATAAATAAATAAATAAACAATAAAAATATAAACCAATTTTAAATAACTTTTCTCCACATTCTTAAAGATGTTGAGAGCTTCAATGAAATACCATGTCTGTCTGTCTGCCCAATGTTGAAAGTCATATACTTGTTGCTAACTGAATTAATCTTTGCAGGATGACGGGTGGGTATGGTTGACCAGTCCAGCAACGAGGATGTGTGATCGAGGATTGGGCCGTAGGGACGTTAAGCCCCGAAACCATCACAAGGTAACCGCAAGGTAACCGCAAGGTATGGAAGACTATCACAGGTGCATCGGGATCAGCCACATGGGGCAACCTTTTGTGGTTGATCTAAGCACTGCTGCGTACCTCAATTAGTACAATAACATAATTCATATGTCGATGTCTACAAAACAGAATGTCTGTATATGTCCAAGGTTGGAGGGCCAAACACTTTGGGCTAGACTCAATAAATTTTGCAGTGACTGGTAAGGGGTCGGGGACTTTCATGACTTTCATATGTTGGGTCATCTCGTATTGCCCCCCCCCCCCCACTTTAAGTGGGTCAACTTTCATAGCAACCCCCATGAAGTTGGTAGAGATAAAAGATGGGCCATCAATTCCAGAGTTTTATAATCTTTTGACCGAATTCAGATACAGTATTGAGAAGCAAAATATATCCTGGTAGCAGATTTGTATTCTGGGGGTTTTCAACACTTAAATGTTGCAATATTTGAGGTCAACTCAGACACTGCTGGGCACCCCATATACTGTTGTATTAATGTGTTAAGTCATATAAGGGTATGGGGTTATAATACTGAAATTATTTATTAATAGGAACTGGTTTTATATGCAGTAATGAAGCAATACAGTACATTGAATTATTGATGTATAGTTTGTAGCTTTTTAAACCATTATTTATAATTAGCATATAGAAATGTACATTTAGTGAAATTTTGAAAGAAATTAAATTTTTTATAAAAATCACAAAATGCAAGAATGCTAAAATGCAAGGTATTTGTTCAAGCATTTTTAGGGGCCAAAAATTCTTGCATTTAAAATTTCATCAAATGTACTTGTCTATATGCTAATTAAGAATAAATGGATCGTAAAAACTAAATTATAATTCTTCCAGATATAACCTCATTATAGTAATAGGTGTCATTACTTCCCATTGTTGGGTACGGGATTCTTGGATATTTTGGTTCTGCTAAGTAAACAGAGACATCAGGAGTAAGGAAATGTACAGTACATGTACACCTCGTTATGCCCGGGTATTGAACCCAGGGCCTTCCGGTACTCGCCTAGTTGTGCTTGCAGGGGTTGAGCTCTCGCTCTTTGGTCCTGACTCTCAACTGTCAGTCACCTGATGTACAGATTCCTGAGCCTACTGGGCTCTATCATATCTACATTTGAAACTGTGTATGGAGTCTGCCTCCACCACATCACTTGCCAATGCATTCTATCTGTTAACTACTCTAACACTGAAAATGTTCTTTCTAACGTCCCTGTGTCTCATTTGGGTACTCATTTTCCACCTGTGTCTCCTTGTTCGCATACCACCTGTGTTAAACAGTTTATCCTTATCCACCCTGTCAATTCCTCTTAGAATTTTGTAGGTAGTGATCATGTTTCCCCTTATTCTTCCGTCTTCCAATGTTGTGAAGTGCATTTCATGCAGTCTTTCCTCGTAACTCGTGCATTTTAGTTCCGGGACTAGCCTAGTGGCAGCTTTGTCTTGTGCTTAACAAGGTATGGGCTCCATGCTGGGGCTGCATACTCCAGGATTGATCTTACATATGTGGTATACAAAGTTCTGAATGATTCCTTACATAGGTTCCTGAAGGCAGTTCTGATGTTAGCCAGCCTTACATACGCCGCAGATGTTATTCTTTTTATGTGGGCTTCAGGAGACAGGTTTCGTGTGATATCAACTCCTAGATCTTTCTCTCTGTCTGTTTCATGAAGGACTTCATCTCCAATTCGGTATCCTGTGTCTGGCCTCTTGTTTTCACCGCCTAGAAACACCGTTTTCAACGGTGGAAATCGTTTCCACCATTTGCAATGATAAGCCAGCTGTGCCACAGATCATGTGTGTAAAATATGTAATAATTTTAGTATTTAATTCAACTCATAATTCACACAAAAAATGGTATGTTAGAAGACTAGTTCATACAATTTTAGAAAAACCCTCAATTACTGCAGCTAGACAGAGAGACTTGCCTTCCACCAGCCTAGTAAACTGTCTGAAGCTGGGGAAAGGAGAATTAACAAGAAGCAGAGCATATCTGCCATATTAAACCAAGCCCTAAAGTTCAAGACAGCATGTTGCAGAGTATATTTGGATATTTAGCTAACAATCAGCAACTTCATGAGAGAAAACATAAAAAGATGTGTATAATGAGCTTTGTTTAGGAGCTTTATTTACCCACTAAAGCCATATTAGTGATGAGGGGAAATCTTCCACCTGAGTCCTTGATTACTACAAAACAGACATCATTTCCCTAAGGGAAATGGAGAATTGCTTGCTAGCAGACTTGATATTACAGTACTAGCAACCTAGCGGCTGATGTAGACCGATAAAGCTTGGAAATGTGGTCCAGGTTCCTCAAGAAACATGTTTTTTTTTATTAACCATGTTTATAAAAACATGTCTTGCTCAACCTGACATTATGAGGACTGTGATCAGTCGATCCTTTATCCAGACAGGACTGAAATGGGGACTGATGGCCCATTTTAAAGCAAATCTGGATGGTCTATTTTAAAGAAATTCTGGATGGTCCCTTTTCTTAATTTTGAGGACGAAGAGGTCCTCTTTTAGTTATGAGTTGTCATTTACAAAGATAAAATCTCCGTCCAGTTTGATATAGGAATAAATAATGCACTAAATAGTTATTTTAAATCTATGTTGTGTGCAATCTCTGGAAAAAAATGTAAATTCTTCAGTCCCACAGGAGAGCCCCGTCATCCTTGAAGTCCATAGCAAATGAAACAATGTTTGCAAAAAAAAATATATATATATATACTGTATATATATAAGCAAAATGCTTGATGGGCTGATTAGGGAGTTCAGTTCCTTAACCGATTTTGTGCCTCTGTAACCATTTCCACCACCACCCATGGGATGGGTATTGGGGTGCATAATAAAGAAAGAAATAGAATTGAATTGGCTGCTAAGAACCCATCCATTCAAAGGAATATTATGGAACCTCTTGGAGAATTTGAAGTCTGCACAACCGTGAAGGACAAGGCAACCCCAGCCTCCATCCCCAGCTCTGCCAGCAGCTGCATGAGAAAGGTATAAAACCTTTTTGGATCATCATCTAAAAGGGAAAGACAGAATGCAGTGTGTTTAGCAAACATGGGGAGGGGGGAGGGGCAAAGGTCTGTCTGCTGAAGCACAAGGAACAACCTTCCAAGCTACTACCCATAAGATGCTACATATGAGTTTCACAGGTTGATAAAACAAAAAGAATGAGAATCTCACAAAAAAAAAAATTTATTCAAGTAATCTGCAAAAGCTGGGAACTACCATTGCAGTTTTGAAGCTTCTGAGCCTGAGACAATGAAGTAAAAAGAGTGGTCACACATGGACGACAGATATCACAAACTTGAGGATGATACTGTTATTGTATCCAACTGTTTTTGTTGGATACAATATCCAACTGTTTTTGTTGGATACAATATCCAACTGTTTTTGTTGGATACAATATCCAACTGTTTTTGTTGGATACAATATCCAACTGTTTTTGTTGGATACAATATCCAACTGTTTTTGTTGGATACAATATCCAACTGTTTTTGTTGGATACAATATCCAACTGTTTTTGTTTTGTTTGTCAAAATATTCAGTATGGCATTCTTATTGCACCATTCAAAGCTGTGACAATCACCATAGTACTGAAAGTGTGATCTGCCTCCTGCGAGACAAGTGTAAGGAGGAATCTGGGGTTAATGGTAAGTGCTCAGCTTTCCTTAATCTACCCTTTACAAGATGCCAGAAGAAAAATAAGTTTTCATGAAAAGTCATCAAAATTTAATGCAATCAAATGCCCACTCATTCAGGCAAGGTAGGACATGGTGGGTAACAAACCAGATCATGCTAACTCCAGAGAGAGGGGGTAACATCTAAATATACCCTGTTCAACAAATACCAGGTTGAAAGCCATGAGTGAAGTGGTACAGGCTCGCAAAGCTAAGCCACTGCTGGGCACACCAGCACAGAATGCCTAAAAACAAACTACTTTAAAAACAAACTGAGGAAAAACAGGAACAAGCAAAGACAAATACATACAGTGTATTGTTTAGCAATAATATCAAAGCATAACTTAAGATGGCCCATAGTGTATACAAAACAATGTTTCAAGAATGAACATAAGTATTGTATTTTCTTTATAAATATTGAATTCCACGAGTCTGGACCCAGGGCTGAGTGCATGGGCATGTTCTCAATTTCTCTTAAAAAATCTGCCATGTTCGTGTTTACATCAGTTATATTTACAGGGGTTTGAATATCATGCATAAAGAAGTTGTCCGGATCTTCCACTTTCATTCTTATTATTGGAGTGCTAAACATGTCCTCATACTGTTTTTTTAGGATTTCATTAATTTCTTTGTCATCCTCGGTGTTTGAACTTTCACTAGTACGAATAGGTCCAATACTGGCAGTAGGTTTTGCTTTTGATTTTGAATATGTGAAGAAGTATTTTGGGTTTTTCTTTATTTCGTGAATTGCTTTCTGTTCTAGTTGTCTTTCTTCAGTCTGATATGAATGCTTCAGTCTCTGTTCGATTTCTTCAATCTCCCTGTTTAAATTATTCCTTCTTTGTATGGAAAGGTGTATGGAAAAAATAATGGAAATGCTTATGGAAAGGTAAGCATTTCCGTTATTTTTACATTTTGTAGTGTCATCTGCGTTCTCTTTCTACTTTGGACCTCTTTCTGGCTTTCCTCAATGGCACATGTTTCAGACAGACTTCATATGCTTCAGAAGTCAGTTTTTCTATTCCCTGTGTAGGATTTTTATTACTTAGAACAGTTTCCCATTGAATGTTTGTAAGTTCCCTGTTTATTTTCTCCCAGTCTATCCGTTTATTATTAAAATTGAATCTACTAAATAACCCTTCTTGCTTGTTGTTTCTCTTGGGCCTACTACTACTGTTATTAATGTTAGTTTGCACTTCAATGAGCATGTGGTCTTAAGAGTAGCCTGTCCCCTTGGCCTTCCTCTAGTCACTGTAACCATCGATGGAAAAGGGCTCTGGTGAGGTTACATATTGGCCATACACA